CTGCAAGGGCCGGTCCCTGCAAGGGCCGGTCCCTGCAAGGGCCGGTCCCTGCAAGGGCCGGTCCCTGCAAGGGCCGGTCCCTGCAAGGGCCGGTCCCTGCAAGGGCCGGTCCCTGCAAGGGCCGGTCCCTGCAAGGGCCGGTCCCTGCAAGGGCCGGTCCCTGCAAGGGCCGGTCCCTGCAAGGGCCGGTCCCTGCAAGGGCCGGTCCCTGCAAGGGCCGGTCCCTGCAAGGGCCGGTCCCTGCAAGGGCCGGTCCCTGCAAGGGCCGGTCCCTGCAAGGGCCGGTCCCTGCAAGGGCCGGTCCCTGCAAGGGCCGGTCCCTGCAAGGGCCGGTCCCTGCAAGGGCCGGTCCCTGCAAGGGCCGGTCCCTGCAAGGGCCGGTCCCTGCAAGGGCCGGTCCCTGCAAGGGCCGGTCCCTGCAAGGGCCGGTCCCTGCAAGGGCCGGTCCCTGCAAGGGCCGGTCCCTGCAAGGGCCGGTCCCTGCAAGGGCCGGTCCCTGCAAGGGCCGGTCCCTGCAAGGGCCGGTCCCTGCAAGGGCCGGTCCCTGCAAGGGCCGGTCCCTGCAAGGGCCGGTCCCTGCAAGGGCCGGTCCCTGCAAGGGCCGGTCCCTGCAAGGGCCGGTCCCTGCAAGGGCCGGTCCCTGCAAGGGCCGGTCCCTGCAAGGGCCGGTCCCTGCAAGGGCCGGTCCCTGCAAGGGCCGGTCCCTGCAAGGGCCGGTCCCTGCAAGGGCCGGTCCCTGCAAGGGCCGGTCCCTGCAAGGGCCGGTCCCTGCAAGGGCCGGTCCCTGCAAGGGCCGGTCCCTGCAAGGGCCGGTCCCTGCAAGGGCCGGTCCCTGCAAGGGCCGGTCCCTGCAAGGGCCGGTCCCTGCAAGGGCCGGTCCCTGCAAGGGCCGGTCCCTGCAAGGGCCGGTCCCTGCAAGGGCCGGTCCCTGCAAGGGCCGGTCCCTGCAAGGGCCGGTCCCTGCAAGGGCCGGTCCCTGCAAGGGCCGGTCCCTGCAAGGGCCGGTCCCTGCAAGGGCCGGTGGGGATCTGTTTTATGCTGGTAGTTAAAAACAGTAATGGTTGCTATGCCATTACAATAACAGTGAAACCGTTGCTATTTTCAGCCAACAGCATAAGATGAACTATTTATCCAAACAGCATTAATCCAAATTGATTAGCTAACTTGACCGGCAAGATCTTTCAGCATGATTTTTTTGATGATTCAATTACCCTTAAGAATTATTCACATATCTCTTTAGAATTGATTCCTAATTTGATTACATAAATGCAAACCCTGTGTGTGTAAATATGTATATAGATATGTGTGTGTATATATATATATTACTTCATATTATCATCGCTCAGGAAACACTTACCTGCTTCATGTCCCTGCCCTGTTTTATGTCTCCCACCCTATCCACCCCAGCGTCACTGGCCGAGCTTTCAGACATTTCTGCCCCTGCTCTCTGGAACTCCATCCCAGAGTCCCTCCGACTTGCACGCTCCCTCCCTGCCATGTACAAATCCTAAAGACTGACCTCTTTGACGAAACTTTCCGTCATTTTCCCCCTCTCCCATCAGCTCCTACTTCATAGTTCGGATGCCTTGCCTGCAGTTGAGGCCCTCCCGACAAGAAAGGTGCTACATAAATGTATATTGTACAGTAAATTTCAATATGCTTGATTAATAAAGTTATGTTAATTTACATACGATGTCACCAGTATTGGCCTGAGGACAACAAGCCAGTGTCTGTATTTGGAAATATTGTAATCAGTAAGATAACAGAGGACATTCAGGCAGATTGGACTACACGAGAACTAAAAATTGAAAAGGTAAATATATATGTTACTGGAGTTCTGTACTAATTTGTGACACATTTTGTACAAGGGAGTACGGTTTTCATTATGTAATCCTATTTGTTGTTTAAAGGGTCACTCTATCACTTATTAATGGTCTAAGATTTATTTTTAAAAAAAGAAATCTGCAGCAAAACAAGTCATTCTGCCCAATTATATATTACGTGAACTGAATCATTGGACCTTTTTATACTATAAATAGGTTTTAGTAGCATTGCAAGACATAGTCATGAGATCATTTATTTACCATGAATCACATAACACTTTGAAATTTTTCAGGAACCAATGCTCTGCAAGTAATGTACTCTTTACATAATACTATACATGACCTGACAGATAGATCACATATGCACTTTCTCAGAACTGAATCTTTACCATGTGACAAACCATTCCCAGCCTGGCTTATCCAACCTTACGTATCAGAGTTGGTAGCAGGTTAGAACTTTTTAAACTATGTGCAGACGTGTTGCAATAGACTGTATTTAATACCCAGTAAAAATACAACCTCAGCAGAAATATTTGCTTCCATCTATGTAAGGAATTGTGCATGTCTGTAGGTTTCAAATAAATCAGAAAGTAATAAATCTAGGCTACTGCTATCCCCAGCAGGTGTTTTATGAGGTAGAGGTTATGGTTCCTGGGAAGAATCTATGAACTAGTTGTCACCAGAATGAACTGACCTCTCATCACTTGGGTCACTATCGACCCCTGATCAAATACCCATCTCTTGGTTTCCTAGTCCTTTGCTGGCATCAGCAATAACCATTATGAAAAAATGTAAGCCGATCCCCAAGAAAAGTGGAGTGTGGCGTTCGTTTCCTACCACTTGCCAACATATTGAATGGTAAACATCCCATACCCATTTAAAAGAACCGTCATTGATTGCCTACCCAATGGAAATAGATACAACCAAATGGAACTTGATTCAAACAACACTAACAGAGATAATATTCGGGTATAATGTTGAGGGAAACAATCCTAAAATGTGTCATATGCTTTATTTCGGTCCATTTTTCCTGGGCATAATTTCTATTTCTGTAACTGCAAAATGCATTCGGTATCACACTGTTGAACATCCCAGAATAGTTTTGTATGTTGAATTTTGAATCAACTGGACTGAAATATACAGTGATTTCATGTTATATTTTGGAAAATGTAATTGCTTCAACAAAGATTGAAACAAAATAAGTTGTAGGAAAATGTATTGAATACTTTAGATGAACTTGCTCTGTTCCGCTTGAATCATCTGAAGTTATATATTCCTATAAGTGTCATTGTGTGGTGCTGATTCAGCAGTAATCACAAACTAAATCATCAACAAACAGAAGCTGAAAATATGATTGATAATTTACTGGTATCTCCATTCCTCTTTTGTGCTATTGTTAAAAATTATATATTTTTTATTAGCTTTATCCATAATACAAACATGCAAATGGACTAACTCTGTGATCTCATTGGATTTAACTTCCAAATGGCCTTCTTCTATGTTGTAAAGTTCTGTTCTGTTTACAACATGAAATGATCAAAAAACACAGGGGCATTTTAAAAATGCATTCTGAATAAAACTTTGTGCGCAACATTTTTCAAACAGATAAAATTACTTTTACCATTCTCAGCAAAAACTGAATCCTTCGTAATTGCCAGATATAGTTGACACAGCATATTCTTACTGGTATTTTGAGTTCTTGTATTGACACCTTCTTTATTGTTTTAATACAATACCTGTTTTGGACAGGATGGTGATTATATGATGGTGAGGCATTTCAACTTTTCTTCTTGGCCTGAACATGGAGTTCCTGAGTGCAGCACAACTTTGATTCATTTTGTGAAACTAATTCGAGCATCCAGGGCCAATGATAGCACACCTATTGTTGCACATTGCAGGTAAAAATATGTACAGGAGATTAATTTGTTTCTTGTGGCAATTTTATATACATGTTTATACAATTTCATGCAATTTTATACACATGGTATAAAACTGGAAAGCTATACTGAATTTGAAAATGTTTATTAATAATAGTACAAAGTAAGGAAACTTATTAATTCCTTGGGTTGCTATATTGACTATTTCTGTAACACATTTACAAATAATAAGTAAAAAAAATTCTTTATGTTATGCACTAAATAAAATCAAATGCAAATGTGCTCAATGCATTTTGACATAAATTGTTTTTTTGTTGGCCAAAGATTGCAAAAGTGCAATTCCTTTACAAATGGAATAGAATGCTTCATTGACATCTGTAGGCTAGGTTCTCAACAACTTAATAAACAAATGCAACTTATCACATATTATATTCACACTAATGTATATACCAAGTATTTTTCAACACTAATCACCAACTTCTAAACTAATATCATGTTGGACATGTTAAAATTTCAATGATCCTTTAATGATGAGAAATTTATTTTTAAAAACATCATTACAAAGATGAAATGACCTGCAGAATAATCCTTGAATTTACAAGGATAATCCTAATAATCCTTGAAGTTACAATCAGGAATAGAAAATACGCCTGAAAACTCAATGTGGAGTCCTGTAGCTCAGTGGTTAGAGCACTCGCTTTGCAAGCGAGAGACCTGAGTTCAATTCCAGGCAGAGGACGAAACCTTGGGCAAGTTTCCTTACTCCACACAGAGCCTAATAATAATCCCTCCAAAAACCCAAAACAATAACAAATTGGTCATTTTCAATCTATGACTGTTTGTGGGACATTGCTGTGCGCAATTGGCTGTCGCGTTCGGCCACAAATACACAGTCAATTCACTTTACAGTATGTTCTGTGAAGCGCTTTGGGACGTCCTCCCGATGTGAAAAGCGTGATATCAAATGCAAGGATTATTATTATTATTATTTATTGGACAAATATGTTATTAGAGCTTTAAGTACAAGACCCAATAGGAGGAACTGGTTGCATTTAATTTTATTTCAAGCATACAGTGAAAAAAATATTATTGCACTATTTGTAAGGAGTTTCAGAAATATCTAGTCCATATAGCCCTCAAAATATTAGCCACACATGATTTGTGTTTGTTCCTTTAACCCTCAGTGCTGGAGTAGGGCAGGACTGGAGTCTTTATTGCACCTTGATCACCTTATACAGCATGTGAACCACCACGACTTTGTGGACATTTTTGGATTAGTGGCAGACTTACGAAATTGAAACGAATGTGCATGGTGCAGAACTTGGTAAGAAAATAAGAAAACATCTACTTTGGCAACTAGATATTCACAAGTATGCACCAGATTATCTTGATTCCTATCCACCACCTATTTGTATGTCAAAATATCCATAGTTTGAAACCCATACCCTGAGTTTACAACGTTACAGGGATTCCAGACATTTGAAAGTACAATAATAACAACAACTTGCAATTATATAACGCCCCTCATGCAGGGCAGGGCCCCAGAATAAAACTCATATAAGAGTAAAACTCACATGAAACTTAATATGACTTATGCGAAGTCTGAGTTGCAGGCAACCTGCATAAATCTTTTAAAATCCAATTTATTAAATATTCTACACTGCGCATGTGTAATTCATTTCATCTTGTAAGTGAGCATGCGGTACTTTGTCAACACAGCCGGTAATTGCGCATGCAATGATGGGTAACACTACGTGTTTCCCACAGTTCGATGTGTCTTGATTCATCGCCGCATGCGCACTTACCGGCAAACATTAGAATCGCAATGAATTACGAGAAATGCCGTTCTTCGGCGCATGCATCAAACTGATCAAGACTACGTCTTCCATGGTTCAATGCAGCCAGATGGTAAGTGCGATTGCATCAACTGGTCAGGATGCTGTTTCCCGCTATTCAATGCAGCCAGTAAGTGTGGGAGTAATGGAGGATAGGGGGCTCTGTTACGAGTCAAGAGATGATTAATACAGCGAGTGCAAAGAAATCAAAGTGGTTTTGATAAGAAACTGAATGGGATTCAGGCTACATATATGACTAAGGTATTTTTATAAAGATAAGGCTTTATCTTTATCGGCTCCAAAACACCTGATTGTTCAGCGCCCTGGGACGTCTTTCCAACGTGAAAGGTGATGTACAAGTGTAAGTTGTTGTTGTTATACAGATTTTACCTATACCAACAAATGTACCTACCCTCAGTGAACAACCCCCCCACTCAGTTTCTTCCCACCCCACACACACAATTCAGGTGCTCAGCCAACTGTGTGAAGTGCTCCCTGATGTGAAAGGCACTAAATAAATATAAATTGTATTGTATTTTCCCTCAAGACATGGTACGGACAAATGTATTAGTCACTTGACAACTTGGGAGACCGTATTTATCTACAATAACAACAATTGTGTTTCTGATTTTCATAAATATATGAATTGGGTTGGGAGTCTTTGAGTTACAAATCCTCAATATAATACAGCCTTGTGTGATTAAATACAAATGATGTTTCCCAGCAGCTGACCCATGTTAGACCCAGTTCAGAAACCTTGAATCATCCTTCTCTCAAACACTCAGCTGCCTTTCAGTGTGACATCTGACAGCAACAACACACTTCCACAGTCAAGATATAGTGTGCGGGTTATTTGGTTACTGACAGTGATACCTCGTATTACCTTCTGATTAGGAAAATAAATGAAACACTCATCCAATAATGTTGCACAAATGTACATGTTTTAAAAGTGGAATCCTAGTTATTTATCATAGTTAGGAACATTTATCTTAAGTCATATTGTTATAATTTGCCGCACTAATGCGGAAATTAAAACCTTTTTTAAAACTATTTTTGCTGCAATTTGGGTTTTGTCTAATTTGTAACATTTCTCGTTTTGCTATTACATTGAATGCAGGGGCAGTACATGTTTTTACACCAATGTGCTGTGGATCTCCTGAACAATAAAGGCAACAGTCGTTCACTGTGGTTTGTAAATTATTCTGCTTTGCAAAAATGGACTCCCTGGATGCAATGGAAGGTAATAAAGAAAATTGGTGAAACTGAATGCATAACACAAAACCTTGTACTACAGAAGAACCGTATTATATAACAGTCATTTAGATTCAATATCTCAGAAGTCAGATTATTATGTAGTGTAGAAAAATGACTAATTTCTGGGTCATTAGGTCACTACTGATATCACTTCCTCCATGTAGCACATGCAACCTTTATACAAGAAGTACCGATGTAACTTCCTTGGTGAAGTGATGTCCACAGCAACCTGCTACAAATACACATAAAATGCAAGTGCAGGCTGCAGGTAGTGACATTGGTGGCACTTCCTACACACAGCATGCATACGCAGTGCATGGAAAGTGACATCAACGAAGCTTCCTGTATGTAGCAACTCGAGAAGTTCAAAGTTGGCCTTGTTTTAATGCAGGAAACTAGCTAATCAGACCCAGAAGTTGGATGTTCTGCGCTTTAGATGTTCTAATGAGCTGCCCTGTATTTCCATATAACTCATAAAGTAGCTAAATATATTGCAATATGTTTTTAATGTTATGCACGGACGAACACAATTGTAGAATGTGAGAGCCGCGTACTAATTTAGTTGTATCCTCAGCAAATACCTTTCTGTCATATTACCAGTCCCATAGCCTCACATATGGGTACTTTTTGACTTGGCGATCAATGATCAACTTTCTGTTGTTCTGTTTATAACACTGCCAGTGGCCAGATGTGCTCTGGAAATATATCAATGGTAAAGAAGAGTACTGTACCTTTATATATATAAAGTGTTTCTGATAGCATGTGTGAACAGTGTGTGAGAAGTGACATGTGCAATCCCATTCACTGAGCAGAATTCAAATCACTGTCATTCACACCAGAAAGAAAAGCTCGTAGTGCAAGTCCAACTATCCTACTGTTGGCCCAGTCACAGAATGGAATTGATAGGAACCTTGGAGGCACCTTCACAGCTGCAGGAGAGGGCAGAATTGGGGACCTAACTGGAGTAATAAAGGGTTTAAAAGAAATACAATAAAAATGAGTGTTTCTTTTATTTGTTTTCAGTAATTAGTTTCTCAAAACATTTAAAATAGCTTCTCAAATTATCCTTTTAATGCGGGTGCATTTCTATTACATAACTCATAATACACAAAGCAGAAAGGGATAATGTTATAATGTTATGATCTGTATTTTTCTCTTAGGTAATAGTCTGCATTTCATGTAACTATCAGTGACCCCTCTTAAGCTATTTAGTTCAGTAATAGGTAACATGTATTTTATAGTGCAGATAAGATCAATTTAATATCCTTTCTCTATCAAAATCTGCAGTGAACTTTTAGGAGCACCAATTCTATTTCAACTACTGCTCCTGAAGATAGGAGGTTGTTCGAGAATCAAATGGATGGCACCAATCAAAGTCATTATTGCTGTTTGTGAAACAGGAGGCTTGGGAAATACTGCAACATAAGCTTCCACTGTGTACTTCTGTAGTTATAGAATATGTTGATGGATGTTGGTAACATTGACCTTTCTCCGAATTTTCTTATAGGTGATGTGGAATTGGAGTGGGAAGAAACAACCATGTGATTCTCGAGCACTGATGAATTAGAAGGTTTCTGTGAAATGATTTCAGAAAATGAACATGGAAGCTTCTATGAAAAAGGGCCAAAATTCACCTATAAATAGACTTTTTCCTCAAATTACCAGACTGAGCAATTTCTTTATCACCACTGTGTCTGAATGAATTACTACCAAAATTACACTTTTGTGTTTGGATTGAACAGATTCTAATTTACATAAGTCTATTATTGTTTGCATACATTCTGAGTGTCCATTTTCATTACTGAATGTTGATGGCTTATTTTTACTCTTTTATACTTAGTTTTTTTTAACCTAAGTGAGCCAAACATGATGTAAAGTTTAATTTTTTTCATGGCACTTTGTTGCTTTTTGATGAGTAAATTTGAGTTTGCAGTTGGATTTGTAAATGTCCATTTGCGTTTAGTTTTGAATTAAATATTACTTTTTTTGAGTTGTCCATATTATTCCAGCCAACATTTTGTTAATTCTTCTGTATTATTTTCAATTCTGACCTAATATTCTCCATTAAAAGTTTGGCTCTTAGTGTTTGTAGCTGAATTCAGTGTACATTGCCAGAACAGTTTGTGATCCTGAACAGCTGAACACTCACCCCTCTGACACACAGAATTTAATCTCCCACTAGAATTCAGACAGTAGCTCTTCAGGGACGCTGCTCTTTACAATCACTACTATATACCAGATTAAGCAAAGCTACATGGTCTGCCCTCCACTTGTTTTTATCAGGTTGCCGTTCCATTCTTTACTTCTAAGTGATCTTATTACAGTGCTGAAGATTACAGATTACAGATTTCTGCAGATTACCATTGACAATCTTGACCAGTGACATGACCAGGCACATAATCTGCCAAATTCATACAATTGTAAATTTCATCAGTTTTACATTTACCTAAGTGTAAATGTTTGAAGTGTTTTACCCAAGCCCCAGTAGACCATTGGCATAAAATTGCATCCCCTTTAAAGGACATAAATAAAAGCAGTAGAAAGTAACAATTTTGAAAGAATCAAGCGATGTTCTTAAAATATACCATTGAATATATTATCTGTTATGTTTAAAACTCTGATTTAATACTTTATTTGCTATGTTAATCTGTTATTTGTTAATCCTTTATCAATATAATTTTATGCACTGTATAACACAATACCTATTGATACACAATAGAATCTACATACAATATAATTGTGGATAATTTTATACACAATATTCTCCTTGGTGGGAGGTAAGCGGGATCTCCTTGGAGCTGAACTGGACTCCAAAGTGAAATACTTGGCAACGCAGTGTCAGGATCAAGCCCACCCTCTCTAGCAGCCACGGTAGTCCAGGACCTGAGCCAGGTGGGTCCGCAGAGCTCCATGACACTCCTGATGACAGCACAGCCTGGCTCATCAGCAGGACTTGGAAGGGCAGATCAATCACAGGGGACTGTTCCCACTCAGCTCCATTAACCCCGTAAGCCAAAGCCCGAACTCTGGAACGCTCTCCCTCAATCCCTCTGCCTTGCCCCCCTTCCTCCCCACTTTCAAATCCTGCCTAAGGACTTTCCTTTTTCAGCTTGTTTACAGTCCCCTTCCTCTCCCTTGGCTTGGTGTCAGACTCCACCACTGTCAAGCTCTCCTGGACGCTACCCTGCATGAAAGACACCATCTAAATACAAGTTGTTGTTGCACATGTCAGACACCTGGCTGACCAAGAAAGCCCACAATAACATTACAGCATTTTTTATATCTGAACACCTTATTGATCAAATCTTATCAGATTTTTATGTTGCTTGTGATCATTGAGTATTAGGTATTTCATTTATTTTAACATTAAAAGTTGCACTTTATAGTTTGTGACAGGATAGTGACAGGATACAGCAATGTAGTACTTTATATCTAATACACCTATTCATAACTATAGGATTATTCCTATTTTTTGGAAAATAATCAGTTTTTCAGGCCCTTAATACCTTAGTTCCTCCTCTGGGGAACCATTTGTGCACTCCAGAAATAGAAACTCTGAGTACAGTAGCTGAACCTGGAAATATTAAAACAGCAACAGGTTTCAGTGAGCGTCAGATTCCTGACTAACAAAGAAAAATAAGTCTTCAGAGTCTTTCATTAAAAGTCATATGACTTTTAACAGTAATCTGGTTGCATTCTAAGAAGTACGTGACTTTGCGCCTGTTGAAACAAAGAATGGGAAGGGAGTTTAATGCTTTGAAGACTTCATTAAGGTATTGCTGGTAGACATGAAACCTGTTAACAGAACTGCCGCTCATTTTTTCAATATTGATCTAGCAGAATACTTAAAACATTGCATGCATCATCAATGGCATTTACACATATTGAAGTAGTTTGTGTCAGTTTGGCTCAGTGGTTGCGCTCTCGCCTCTGAGTCAGAAGGTTGTGGGTTCAATTCCCATGTTGGAACTCGAACTCACATAGTCAAAACTGACTTTCCAATGCAGTCCTGGGGCAGGGGTGGGGAGGTTGTTGTGTTGTGGGAGGTGCAGTCCTTCAGATGTAACGTTATACTGAGGTCCTGCCTGCCGAGATGTTCAAGTGCTCCGGGATGCTGCCCCTGGTGAAGGGCACTGCATAAATGCAAGTTGTTGTTGTAAAGATCCCATGACACTATTTGAGTTTCTCTCGGGGTCCTGGCTAACCAATCCGCCAAATAAAATTGGGCACAGGTTTGATGGTTGTTTGTGGGACATTGCTGTGCGCAATTGTGCTTTGAGGGGTGCTTCTGATGTGATAAGAAGCTACACCAAATGCAAAGAGCGTTATTAATAGCATAACATAACCAAGAGGAAAATGTGCATTAAACCCGTGGTAAGTTTCCCGTGAAGCTGTTTCCACACAATGCGTGCAATGTCAAAACACTGAAAGAACAAGCATGAAACATTGATTAGGCATCGCTTGCACCTTGTAAAACGATGCCGTTTCGTTCGTGTTTTAAACAAATACGATTTAGCAGAACATGCCACATGCAGATCATATCCAACTCTTGAATTTGCTTGAGCAGCTGATGGCAGGAGAATGGTGCCATTGAGTGAAGAACAATCAGGATGTGTGAGTGGCTGCACAGTTGCTGCCTGTCCCGAGAGAGACACAGTTAAATAGACACGGGAGCTGTGCTAATAAATCCAGGAGTCTCTAATGAGAGCAGCCCTTACTCTAAAAGGTACGCTTCATAAGAACAGAGACAAGCAACCAATTCCCAGCACTGCCACCTCCACACGTGCCCAAGCCAGGATTAAGGTGCTTAGTGAGGGCCGGAGAGAAGAATGGCTTATTAATGGCAGAGACAAGTATCTTGTGGAACGGTCGCGCACAAGTCCACGTTTACTGGTGACAGAAAAGTGCTATTAAAGACCTGAATCCGAACGGCATCTGTTCAGTCCTCAAGAAACCAGAATTAATAAGCGGAGGTTTTAAAACAATGCACACAACGCGTTTTGCACGCGTTAAAATAAAAGACACGTGGAGGACTTGATTCCATGACTTTCCTGCAAGTCGTCGAGATTTGTTTTCCTTAAACAGCCCAATATTGGGGGTGCAGGGGGGGCAGGGGGCTGGGGGGGGCAGGGGGCTGGGGGGGGCAGGGGGGCTGGGGGGGGCTGGGAGGGGCTGGGGGCTGGGGGGGGGCAGGGGGCTGGGGGGGGGGCAGGGGGCTGGGGGGGCTGGGGGGCGGGGGGGCTGGGGGGGCAGGGGCTGGGGGGGCTGGGGGGGGGCAGGGGCTGGGGGGCAGGGGGCTGGGGGGGCAGGGGGCTGGGGGGCAGGGGGCTGGGGGGGCTGGGGGGGCAGGGGGCTGGGGGGGGGGCTGGGGGGGCTGGGGGCTGGGGGGCAGGGGGGGGGCTGGGGGGGCAGGGGGCTGGGGGCTGGGTAGGGGGGGGGGCGCTGTGGTGATGGTAATAGTGATGTTTAAGGCCCCGCACAAACAGCTTCAATTATCCTTCAGCTGTTTGCAGGAAATCCGCCTCCAGAGCATCGCCTCCACACACACACACACCCCAGTGTCCGGGGGTCCCCCCCAGTGTCCGGGGGTCCCCCCAGTGTCCGGGGTTCCCCCCCAGTGTCCGGGGATCCCCCCCAGTGTCCGGCAGTGGCGCTGCTCTCTCTGTGTTACCTATTGGGGTTCTCGCTACGGAAAGGATCACAACAGCATCTCTCCCACTCACATGCGCTGCACCGAGTGCAGGAGGCGGGGGGGGGGGGGGCACCAGGCAATCCTAAACGCCCGCCCTCCCGCCAGTCACCGAGTGCAGGAGGCGGGTGGTGGGACCAGGCAATCCGGCCCCGCCCCGCCCTCCCTGCCAGTCACCCCACCCCGGGCCGGTCCCTGCAAGGGCCGGTCCCTGCAAGGGCCGGTCCCTGCAAGGGCCGGTCCCTGCAAGGGCCGGTCCCTGCAAGGGCCGGTCCCTGCAAGGGCCGGTCCCTGCAAGGGCCGGTCCCTGCAAGGGCCGGTCCCTGCAAGGGCCGGTCCCTGCAAGGGCCGGTCCCTGCAAGGGCCGGTCCCTGCAAGGGCCGGTCCCTGCAAGGGCCGGTCCCTGCAAGGGCCGGTCCCTGCAAGGGCCGGTCCCTGCAAGGGCCGGTCCCTGCAAGGGCCGGTCCCTGCAAGGGCCGGTCCCTGCAAGGGCCGGTCCCTGCAAGGGCCGGTCCCTGCAAGGGCCGGTCCCTGCAAGGGCCGGTCCCTGCAAGGGCCGGTCCCTGCAAGGGCCGGTCCCTGCAAGGGCCGGTCCCTGCAAGGGCCGGTCCCTGCAAGGGCCGGTCCCTGCAAGGGCCGGTCCCTGCAAGGGCCGGTCCCTGCAAGGGCCGGTCCCTGCAAGGGCCGGTCCCTGCAAGGGCCGGTCCCTGCAAGGGCCGGTCCCTGCAAGGGCCGGTCCCTGCAAGGGCCGGTCCCTGCAAGGGCCGGTCCCTGCAAGGGCCGGTCCCTGCAAGGGCCGGTCCCTGCAAGGGCCGGTCCCTGCAAGGGCCGGTCCCTGCAAGGGCCGGTCCCTGCAAGGGCCGGTCCCTGCAAGGGCCGGTCCCTGCAAGGGCCGGTCCCTGCAAGGGCCGGTCCCTGCAAGGGCCGGTCCCTGCAAGGGCCGGTCCCTGCAAGGGCCGGTCCCTGCAAGGGCCGGTCCCTGCAAGGGCCGGTCCCTGCAAGGGCCGGTCCCTGCAAGGGCCGGTCCCTGCAAGGGCCGGTCCCTGCAAGGGCCGGTCCCTGCAAGGGCCGGTCCCTGCAAGGGCCGGTCCCTGCAAGGGCCGGTCCCTGCAAGGGCCGGTCCCTGCAAGGGCCGGTCCCTGCAAGGGCCGGTCCCTGCAAGGGCCGGTCCCTGCAAGGGCCGGTCCCTGCAAGGGCCGGTCCCTGCAAGGGCCGGTCCCTGCAAGGGCCGGTCCCTGCAAGGGCCGGTCCCTGCAAGGGCCGGTCCCTGCAAGGGCCGGTCCCTGCAAGGGCCGGTCCCTGCAAGGGCCGGTCCCTGCAAGGGCCGGTCCCTGCAAGGGCCGGTCCCTGCAAGGGCCGGTCCCTGCAAGGGCCGGTCCCTGCAAGGGCCGGTCCCTGCAAGGGCCGGTCCCTGCAAGGGCCGGTCCCTGCAAGGGCCGGTCCCTGCAAGGGCCGGTCCCTGCAAGGGCCGGTCCCTGCAAGGGCCGGTCCCTGCAAGGGCCGGTCCCTGCAAGGGCCGGTCCCTGCAAGGGCCGGTCCCTGCAAGGGCCGGTCCCTGCAAGGGCCGGTCCCTGCAAGGGCCGGTCCCTGCAAGGGCCGGTCCCTGCAAGGGCCGGTCCCTGCAAGGGCCGGTCCCTGCAAGGGCCGGTCCCTGCAAGGGCCGGTCCCTGCAAGGGCCGGTCCCTGCAAGGGCCGGTCCCTGCAAGGGCCGGTCCCTGCAAGGGCCGGTCCCTGCAAGGGCCGGTCCCTGCAAGGGCCGGTCCCTGCAAGGGCCGGTCCCTGCAAGGGCCGGTCCCTGCAAGGGCCGGTCCCTGCAAGGGCCGGTCCCTGCAAGGGCCGGTCCCTGCAAGGGCCGGTCCCTGCAAGGGCCGGTCCCTGCAAGGGCCGGTCCCTGCAAGGGCCGGTCCCTGCAAGGGCCGGTCCCTGCAAGGGCCGGTCCCTGCAAGGGCCGGTCCCTGCAAGGGCCGGTCCCTGCAAGGGCCGGTCCCTGCAAGGGCCGGTCCCTGCAAGGGCCGGTCCCTGCAAGGGCCGGTCCCTGCAAGGGCCGGTCCCTGCAAGGGCCGGTCCCTGCAAGGGCCGGTCCCTGCAAGGGCCGGTCCCTGCAAGGGCCGGTCCCTGCAAGGGCCGGTCCCTGCAAGGGCCGGTCCCTGCAAGGGCCGGTCCCTGCAAGGGCCGGTCCCTGCAAGGGCCGGTCCCTGCAAGGGCCGGTCCCTGCAAGGGCCGGTCCCTGCAAGGGCCGGTCCCTGCAAGGGCCGGTCCCTGCAAGGGCCGGTCCCTGCAAGGGCCGGTCCCTGCAAGGGCCGGTCCCTGCAAGGGCCGGTCCCTGCAAGGGCCGGTCCCTGCAAGGGCCGGTCCCTGCAAGGGCCGGTCCCTGCAAGGGCCGGTCCCTGCAAGGGCCGGTCCCTGCAAGGGCCGGTCCCTGCAAGGGCCGGTCCCTGCAAGGGCCGGTCCCTGCAAGGGCCGGTCCCTGCAAGGGCCGGTCCCTGCAAGGGCCGGTCCCTGCAAGGGCCGGTCCCTGCAAGGGCCGGTCCCTGCAAGGGCCGGTCCCTGCAAGGGCCGGTCCCTGCAAGGGCCGGTCCCTGCAAGGGCCGGTCCCTGCAAGGGCCGGTCCCTGCAAGGGCCGGTCCCTGCAAGGGCCGGTCCCTGCAAGGGCCGGTCCCTGCAAGGGCCGGTCCCTGCAAGGGCCGGTCCCTGCAAGGGCCGGTCCCTGCAAGGGCCGGTCCCTGCAAGGGCCGGTCCCTGCAAGGGCCGGTCCCTGCAAGGGCCGGTCCCTGCAAGGGCCGGTCCCTGCAAGGGCCGGTCCCTGCAAGGGCCGGTCCCTGCAAGGGCCGGTCCCTGCAAGGGCCGGTCCCTGCAAGGGCCGGTCCCTGCAAGGGCCGGTCCCTGCAAGGGCCGGTCCCTGCAAGGGCCGGTCCCTGCAAGGGCCGGTCCCTGCAAGGGGTCCCTGCAAGGGTCCCTGCAAGGGCCGGTCCCTGCAAGGGCCGGTCCCTGCAAGGGCCGGTCCCTGCAAGGGCCGGTCCCTGCAAGGGCATTTCTATTTTATTCATTTGAACATTTTTGCTGTTTTTCTTTATATAGGGTTACCTGTGTCCGAATGAATTCATTGCAACCCAAGGTCCTTTACCTGGAACCGTTGCGGATTTCTGGAGAATGATTTGGGAAACTAGTTCTAAATCCATAATTATGTTAACACAATGTTTTGAAAAAGGCAGAGTAAGTTTCTGATAGGGAACACATACAGTGGGACATGAGACTCAGGGAGGCGGGGACAGTGGGGATCTGTTTTATGCTGGTAGTTAAAAACAGTAATGGTTGCTATGCCATTACAATAACAGTGAAACCGTTGCTATTTTCAGCCAACAGCATAAGATGAACTATTTATCCAAACACCATTAATCCAAATTGATTAGCTAACTTGACTGGCAAGATCTTTCAGCATGATTTTTTTGATGATTCAATTACCCTTAAGAATTATTCACATATCTCTTTAGAATTGATTCCTAATTTGATTACATAAATGCAAACCCTGTGTGTGTAAATATGTATATAGATATGTGTGTGTATATATATATATTACTTCATATTATCATCGCTCAGGAAACACTTACCTGCTTCATGTCCCTGCCCTGTTTTATGTCTCCCACCCTATCCACCCCAGCGTCACTGGCCGAGCTTTCAGACATTTCTGCCCCTGCTCTCTGGAACTCCATCCCAGAGTCCCTCCGACTTGCACGCTCCCTCCCTGCCCATGTACAAATCCTAAAGACTGACCTCTTTGACGATACTTTCCGTCATTTTCCCCCTCTCCCATCAGCTCCTACCTCACAGTTCGGATGCCTTGCCTGCAGTTGAGGCCCTCCCGACAAGAAAGGTGCTACATAAATGTATATTGTACAGTAAATTTCAATATGCTTGATTAATAAAGTTATGTTAATTTAGATACGATGTCACCAGTATTGGCCTGAGGACAACAAGCCAGTGTCTGTATTTGGAAATATTGTAATCAGTAAGATAACAGAGGACATTCAGGCAGATTGGACTACACGAGAACTAAAAATTGAAAAGGTAAATATGTTACTGGAGTTCTGTACTAATTTGTGACACATTTTGTACAAGGGAGTACGGTTTTCATTATGTAATCCTATTTGTTGTTTAAAGGGTCACTCTATCACTTATTAATGGTCTAAGATTTATTTTTAAAAAAAGAAATCTGCAGCAAAACAAGTCATTCTGCCCAATTATATATTACGTGAACTGAATCATTGGACCTTTTTATACTATAAATAGGTTTTAGTAGCATTGCAAGACATAGTCATGAGATCATTTATTTACCATGAATCACATAACACTTTGAAATTTTTCAGGAACCAATGCTCTGCAAGTAATGTACTCTTTACATAATACTATACATGACCTGACAGATAGATCACATATGCACTTTCTCAGAACTGAATCTTTACCATGTGACAATCCATTCCCAGCCTGGCTTATCCAACCTTACGTATCAGAGTTGGTAGCAGGTTAGAACTTTTTAATCTATGTGCAGACATGTTGCAATAGACTGTATTTAATACCCAGTAAAAATACAACCTCAGCAGAAATATTTGCTTCCATCTATGTAAGGAATTGTGCATGTCTGTAGGTTTCAAATAAATCAGAAAGTAATAAATCTAGGCTACTGCTATCCCCAGCAGGTGTTTTATGAGGTAGAGGTTATGGTTCCTGGGAAGAATCTATGAACTAGTTGTCACCAGAATGAACTGACCTCTCATCACTTGGGTCACTATCGACCCCTGATCAAATACCCATCTCTTGGTTTCCTAGTCCTTTGCTGGCATCAGCAATAACCATTATGAAAACATGTAAGCCGATCCCCAAGAAAAGTGGAGTGTGGCGTTCGTTTCCTACCACTTGCCAACATATTGAATGGTAAACATCCCATACCCATTTAAAAGAACCGTCATTGATTGCCTACCCAATGGAAATAGATACAACCAAATGGAACTTGATTCAAACAACACTAACAGAGATAATATTCGGGTATAATGTTGAGGGAAACAATCCTAAAATGTGTCATATGCTTTATTTCGGTCCATTTTTCCTGGGCATAATTTCTATTTCTGTAACTGCAAAATGCATTCGGTATCACACTGTTGAACATCCCAGAATAGTTTTGTATGTTGAATTTTGAATCAACTGGACTGAAATATACAGTGATTTCATGTTATATTTTGGAAAATGTAATTGCTTCAACAAAGATTGAAACAAAATAAGTTGTAGGAAAATGTATTGAATACTTTAGATGAACTTGCTCTGTTCCGCTTGAATCATATGAATTTATTTATTCCTATAAGTGTCATTGTGTGGTGCTGATTCAGCAGTAATCACAAACTAAATCATCAACAAACAGAAGCTGAAAATATGATTGATAATTTACTGGTATCTCCATTCCTCTTTTGTGCTATTGTTAAAAATTATATATTTTTTATTAGCTTTATCCATAATACAAACATGCAAATGGACTAACTCTGTGATCTCATTGGATTTAACTTCCAAATGGCCTTCTTCTATGTTGTAAAGTTCTGTTCTGTTTACAACATGAGATGATCAAAAAACACAGGGGCATTTTAAAAATGCATTCTGAATAAAACTTTGTGCGCAACATTTTTCAAATAGATAAAATTACTTTTACCATTCTCAGCAAAAACTGAATCCTTCGTAATTGCCAGATATAGTTGACACAGCATATTCTTACTGGTATTTTGAGTTCTTGTATTGACACCTTCTTTATTGTTTTAATACAATACCTGTTTTGGACAGGATGGTGATTATATGATGGTGAGGCATTTCAACTTTTCTTCTTGGCCTGAACATGGAGTTCCTGAGTGCAGCACAACTTTGATTCATTTTGTGAAACTAATTCGAGCATCCAGGGCCAATGATAGCACACCTATTGTTGCACATTGCAGGTAAAAATATGTCCAGCAGATTAATTTGTTTCTTGTGGCAATTTTATATACATGTTTATACAATTTCATGCAATTTTATACACATGGTATAAAACTGGAAAGCTATACTGAATTTGAAAATGTTTATTAATAATAGTACAAAGTAAGGAAACTTATTAATTCCTTGGGTTGCTATATTGACTATTTCTGTAACACATTTACAAATAATAAGTAAAAAAAATTCTTTATGTTATGCACTAAATAAAATCAAATGCAAATGTGCTCAATGCATTTTGACATAAATTGTTTTTTTGTTGGCCAAAGATTGCAAAAGTGCAATTCCTTTACAAATGGAATAGAATGCTTCATTGACATCTGTAGGCTAGGTTCTCAACAACTTAATAAACAAATGCAACTTATCACATATTATATTCACACTAATGTATATACCAAGTATTTTTCAACACTAATCACCAACTTCTAAACTAATATCATGTTGGACATGTTAAAATTTCAATGATCCTTTAATGATGAGAAATTTATTTTTAAAAACATCATTACAAAGATGAAATGACCTGCAGAATAATCCTTGAATTTACAAGGATAATCCTAATAATCCTTGAAGTTACAATCAGGAATAGAACAATACGCCTGAAAACTCAATGTGGAGTCCTGTAGCTCAGTGGTTAGAGCACTCGCTTTGCAAGCGAGAGACCTGAGTTCAATTCCAGGCAGAGGACGAAACCTTGGGCAAGTTTCCTTACTCCACACAGAGCCTAATAATAATCCCTCCAAAAACCCAAAACAATAACAAATTGGTCATTTTCAATCTACGACTGTTTGTGGGACATTGCTGTGCGCAATTGGCTGTCGCGTTCGGCCACAAATACACAGTCAATTCACTTTACAGTATGTTCTGTGAAGCGCTTTGGGACGTCCTCCCGATGTGAAAAGCGTGATATCAAATGCAAGGATTATTATTATTATTATTTATTGGACAAATATGTTATTAGAGCTTTAAGTACAAGACCCAATAGGAGGAACTGGTTGCATTTAATTTTATTTCAAGCATACAGTGAAAAAAATATTATTGCACTATTTGTAAGTGAGTTTCAGAAATATCTAGTCCATATAGCCCTCAAAATATTAGCCACACATGATTTGTGTTTGTTCCTTTAACCCTCAGTGCTGGAGTAGGCAGGACTGGAGTCTTTATTGCACTTGATCACCTTATACAGCATGTGAACCACCACGACTTTGTGGACATTTTTGGATTAGTGGCAGACTTACGAAATGAACGAATGTGCATGGTGCAGAACTTGGTAAGAAAATAAGAAACGTCTACTTTGGCAAACTACAGATATTCACAAATATGCACCAGATTATCTTTGATTCCTATCCACCACCTATTTGTATGTCAAAATATCCATAGTTTGAACCCATACCCTGAGTTTTACAACGTTACAGGATTCCAGACATTGAAAGTACAATAATAACAACAACTTGCAATTATATAACGCCCCTCATGCAGGGCAGGGCCCCAGAATAAAACTCATATAAGAGTAAAACTCACATGAAACTTAATATGACTTATGCGAAGTCTGAGTTGCAGGCAACCTGCATAAATCTTTTAAAATCCAATTTATTAAATATTCTACACTGCGCATGTGTAATTCATTTCATCTTGTAAGTGAGCATGCGGTACTTTGTCAACACAGCCGGTAATTGCGCATGCAATGATGGGTAAACACTACGTGTTTCCCACAGTTCGATGTGTCTTGATTCATCGCCGCATGCGCACTTACCGGCAAACATTAGAATCGCAATGAATTACGAGAAATGCCGTTCTTCAGCGCATGCATCAACTGATCAAGACTACGTCTTCCATGGTTCAATGCAGCCAGATGGTAAGTGCGATTGCATCAACTGGTCAGGATGCTGTTTCCCGCTATTCAATGCAGCCAGTAAGTGTGGGAGTAATGGAGGATAGGGGGCTCTGTTACGAGTCAAGAGATGATTAATACAGCGAGTGCAAAGAAATCAAAGTGGTTTTGATAAGAAACTGAATGGGATTCAGGCTACATATATGACTAAGGTATTTTTATAAAGATAAGGCTTTATCTTTATCGGCTCCAAAACACCTGATTGTTCAGCGCCCTGGGACGTCTTTCCAACGTGAAAGGTGATGTACAAGTGTAATAATAATAATAATAATAATCCTTGCATTTGATATAGCGCTTTTCACGTCAGGAGGACGTCCCAAAGCGCTTCACAGAACACACTGTAAAGTGAATTGACTGTATATTTGTGGGCAAACGCGGCAGCCAATTGCGCACAGCAATGACCCACAAACAGTCGTAGATTGAAAATGACCAATTTTATTATTGTTTTTGGTTTTTGGAGGGATTATTATTAGGCGTGTGGAGTAAGGAAACTTGCCCAAGGTTTCGCCCTGCCTGGAATTGAACTCAGGTCTCTCGCTTGCAAAGCGAGTGCTCTAACCACTGAGCCACAGGACTCCACAAGTGTAAGTTGTTGTTGTTATACAGATTTTACTATACCAACAAATGTACCTACCCTCAGTGAACAACCCCCCCACTCAGTTTCTTCCCACCCCACACACACAATTCAGGTGCTCAGCCAACTGTGTGAAGTGCTCCCTGATGTGAAAGGCACTAAATAAATATAAATTGTATTGTATTTTCCCTCAAGACATGGTACGGACAAATGTATTAGTCACTTGACAACTTGGGAGACCGTATTTATCTACAATAACAACAATTGTGTTTCTGATTTTCATAAATATATGAATTGGGTTGGGAGTCTTTGAGTTACAAATCCTCAATATAATACAGCCTTGTGTGATTAAATACAAATGATGTTTCCCAGCAGCTGACCCATGTTAGACCCAGTTCAGAAACCTTGAATCATCCTTCTCTCAAACACTCAGCTGCCTTTCAGTGTGACATCTGACAGCAACAACACACTTCCACAGTCAAGATATAGTGTGCGGGTTATTTGGTTACTGACAGTGATACCTACGTATTACCTTCTGATTAGGAAAATAAATGAAACACTCATCCAATAATGTTGCACAAATGTACATGTTTTAAAAGTGGAATCCTAGTTATTTATCATAGTTAGGAACATTTATCTTAAGTCATATTGTTATAATTTGCCGCACTAATGCGGAAATTAAAACCTTTTTTAAAACTATTTTTGCTGCAATTTGGGTTTTGTCTAATTTGTAACATTTCTCGTTTTGCTATTACATTGAATGCAGGGGCAGTACATGTTTTTACACCAATGTGCTGTGGATCTCCTGAACAATAAAGGCAACAGTCGTTCACTGTGGTTTGTAAATTATTCTGCTTTGCAAAAAATGGACTCCCTGGATGCAATGGAAGGTAATAAAAGAAAATTGGTGAAACTGAATGCATAACACAAAACCTTGTACTACAGAAGAACCGTATTATATAACAGTCATTTAGATTCAATATCTCAGAAGTCAGATTATTATGTAGTGTAGAAAAATGACTAATTTCTGGGTCATTAGGTCACTACTGATATCACTTCCTCCATGTAGCACATGCAACCTTTATACAAGAAGTACCGATGTAACTTCCTTGGTGAAGTGATGTCCACAGCAACCTGCTACAAATACACATAAAATGCAAGTGCAGGCTGCAGGTAGTGACATTGGTGGCACTTCCTACACACAGCATGCATACGCAGTGCATGGAAAGTGACATCAACGAAGCTTCCTGTATGTAGCAACTCGAGAAGTTCAAAGTTGGCCTTGTTTTAATGCAGGAAACTAGCTAATCAGACCCAGAAGTTGGATGTTCTGCGCTTTAGATGTTCTAACGAGCTGCCCTGTATTTCCATATAACTCATAAAGTAGCTAAATATATTGCAATATGTTTTTAATGTTATGCACGGACGAACACAATTGTAGAATGTGAGAGCGGTACTAATTTAGTTGTATCCTCAGCAATACCTTTCTGTCATATTACAGTCCCATAGCCTCACATATGGGTACTTTTCGACTTGGCGATCAATGATCAACTTTCTGTTGTTCTGTTTATAACACTGCCAGTGGCAGATGTGCTCTGAAATATATCATGGTAAAGAAGAGTACTGTACCTTTATATATATAAAGTGTTTCTGATAGCATGTGTGAACAGTGTGTGAGAAGTGACATGTGCAATCCCATTCACTGAGCAGAATTCAAATCACTGTCATTCACACCAGAAAGAAAAGCTCGTAGTGCAAGTCCAACTATCCTACTGTTGGCCAGTCACAGAATGGAATTGATAGGAACCTTGGAGGCACCTTCACAGCTGCAGGAGAGGGCAGAATTGGGGACCTAACTGGAGTAATAAAGGGTTTAAAAAGAAATACAAATAAATGAGTGTTTCTTTTATTTGTTTTCAGTAATTAGTTTCTCAAAACATTTTAAAATAGCTTCTCAAATTATCCTTTTAATGCGGTGCATTTCTATTACATAACTCATAATACACAAAGCAGAAAGGGACAATGTTATAATGTTATGATCTGTATTTTTCTCTTAGGTAATAGTCTGCATTTCATGTAACTATCAGTGACCCCTCTTAAGCTATTTAGTTCAGTAATAGGTAACATGTATTTTATAGTGCAGATAAGATCAATTTAATATCCTTTCTCTATCAAATCTGCAGTGAACTTTTAGGAGCACCAATTCTATTTCAACTACTGCTCCTGAAGATAGGAGGTTGTTCGAGAATCAAATGGATGGCACCAATCAAAGTCATTATTGCTGTTTGTGAAACAGGAGGCTTGGGAAATACTGCAACATAAGCTTCCACTGTGTACTTCTGTAGTTATAGAATATGTTGATGGATGTGGTAACATTGACCTTTCTCCGAATTTCTTATAGGTGATGTGGAATTGGAGTGGGAAGAAACAACCATGTGATTCTCGAGCACTGATGAATTAGAAGGTTTCTGTGAAATGATTTCAGAAAATGAACATGGAAGCTTCTATGAAAAAGGGCCAAAATTCACCTATAAATAGACTTTTTCCTCAAATTACCAGACTGAGCAATTTCTTTATCACCACTGTGTCTGAATGAATTACTACCAAAATTACACTTTTGTGTTTGGATTGAACAGATTCTAATTTACATAATAGTCTATTATTGTTTGCATACATTCTGAGTGTCCATTTTCATTACTGAATGTTGATGGCTTATTTTTACTCTTTTATACTTAGTTTTTTTAACCTAAAGTGAGCCAAACATGATGTAAAGTTTAATTTTTTTCATGGCACTTTGTTGCTTTTTGATGAGTAAATTTGAGTTTGCAGTTGGATTTGTAAATGTCCATTTGCGTTTAGTTTTGAATTAAATATTACTTTTTTTGAGTTGTCCATATTATTCCAGCCAACATTTTGTTAATTCTTCTGTATTATTTTCAATTCTGACCTAATATTCTCCATTAAAAGTTTGGCTCTTAGTGTTTGTAGCTGAATTCAGTGTACATTGCCAGAACAGTTTGTGATCCTGAACAGCTGAACACTCACCCCTCTGACACACAGAATTTAATCTCCCACTAGAATTCAGACAGTAGCTCTTCAGGGACGCTGCTCTTTACAATCACTACTCTATACCAGATTAAGCAAAGCTACATGGTCTGCCCTCCACTTGTTTTTATCAGGTTGCCGTTCCATTCTTTACTTCTAAGTGATCTTATTACAGTGCTGAAGATTACAGATTACAGATTTTCTGCAGATTACCATTGACAATCTTGACCAGTGACTTGACCAGGCACATAATCCTGCCAAATTCGTACAATTGTAAATTTCATCAGTTTTACATTTACCTAAGTGTAAATGTTTGAAGTGTTTTACCCAAGCCCCAGTAGACCATTGGGCATAAAATTGCATCCCCTTTAAAGGACATAAAATAAAAGCAGTAGAAAATAACAATTTTGAAAGAATCAAGCGATGTTCTTAAAATATACCATTGAATATATTATCTGTTATGTTTAAAACTCTGATTTAATACTTTATTTGCTATGTTAATCTGTTATTTGCTAATCCTTTAATCAATATAATTTTATGCACTGTATAACACAATACCTATTGATACACAATAGAATCTACATACAATATAATTGGATAATTTTATACACAATATTCTCCTTGGTGGGAGGTAAGCGGGATCTCCTTGGAGCTGAACTGGACTCCAAAGTGAAATACTTGGCAACGCAGTGTCAGGATCAAGCCCACCCTCTCTAGCAGCCACGGTAGTCCAGGACCTGAGCCAGGTGGGTCCGCAGAGCTCCATGACACTCCTGATGACAGCACAGCCTGGCTCATCAGCAGGACTTGGAAGGGCAGATCAATCACAGGGGACTGTTCCCACTCAGCTCCATTAACCCCGTAAGCCAAAGCCCGAACTCTGGAACGCTCTCCCTCAATCCCTCTGCCTTGCCCCCTTCCTCCCCACTTTCAAATCCTGCCTAAGGACTTTCCTTTTTCAGCTTGTTTACAGTCCCCTTCCTCTCCCCTTGGCTTGGTGTCAGACTCCACCACTGTCAAGCTCTCCTGGACGCTACCCTGCATGAAAGACACCATCTAAATACAAGTTGTTGTTGCACATGTCAGACACCTGGCTGACCAAGAAAGCCCACAATAACATTACAGCATTTTTTATATCTGAACACCTTATTGATCAAATCTTATCAGATTTTTATGTTGCTTGTGATCATTGAGTATTAGGTATTTCATTTATTTTAACATTAAAAGTTGCACTTTATAGTTTGTGACAGGATAGTGACAGGATACAGCAATGTAGTACTTTATATCTAATACACCTATTTATAACTATAGGATTATTCCTATTTTTTGGAAAATAATCAGTTTTCAGGCCCTTAATACCTTAGTTCCTCCTCTGGGGAACCATTTGTGCACTCCAGAAATAGAAACTCTGAGTACAGTAGCTGAACCTGGAAATATTAAAACAGCAACAGGTTTCAGTGAGCGTCAGATTCCTGACTAACAAAGAAAAATAAGTCTTCAGAGTCTTTCATTAAAAGTCATATGACTTTTAACAGTAATCTGGTTGCATTCTAAGAAGTACGTGACTTTGCGCCTGTTGAAACAAAGAATGGGAAGGGAGTTTAATGCTTTGAAGACTTCATTAAGGTATTGCTGGTAGACATGAAACCTGTTAACAGAACTGCCGCTCATTTTTTCAATATTGATCTAGCAGAATACTTAAAACATTGCATGCATCATCAATGGCATTTACACATATTGAAGTAGTTGTGTCAGTTTGGCTCAATGGTTGCGCTCTCGCCTCTGAGTCAGAAGGTTGTGGGTTCAATTCCCATGTTGGAACTCGAACTCACATAGTCAAAACTGACTTTCCAATGCAGTCCTGGGGCAGGGGTGGGGAGGTTGTTGTGTTGTGGGAGGTGCAGTCCTTCAGATGTAACGTTATACTGAGGTCCTGCCTGCCGAGATGTTCAAGTGCTCCGGGATGCTGCCCCTGGTGAAGGGCACTGCATAAATGCAAGTTGTTGTTGTAAAGATCCCATGACACTATTTGAGTTTCTCTCGGGGTCCTGGCTAACCAATCCGCCAAATAAAATTGGGCACAGGTTTGATGGTTGTTTGTGGGACATTGCTGTGCGCAATTGTGCTTTGAGGGGTGCTTCTGATGTGATAAGAAGCTACACCAAATGCAAAGAGCGTTATTAATAGCATAACATAACCAAGAGGAAAATGTGCATTAAACCCGTGGTAAGTTTCCCGTGAAGCTGTTTCCACACAATGCGTGCAATGTCAAAACACTGAAAGAACAAGCGTGCAACACTGATTAGGCATCGCTTGCACCTTGTAAAACGATGCCGTTTCGTTCGTGTTTTAAACAAATACGATTTAGCAGAACATGCCACATGCAGATCATATCCAACTCTTGAATTTGCTTGAGCAGCTGATGGCAGGAGAATGGTGCCATTGAGTGAAGAACAATCAGGATGTGTGAGTGGCTGCACAGTTGCTGCCTGTCCCGAGAGAGACACAGTTAAATAGACACGGGAGCTGTGCTAATAAATCCAGGAGTCTCTAATGAGAGCAGCCCTTACTCTAAAAGAAACGCTTCATAAGAACAGAGACAAGCAGCCAATTCCCAGCACTGCCACCTCCACACGTGCCCAAGCCAGGATTAAAGTGCTTAGTGAGGGCCGGAGAGAAGAATGGCTTATTAATGGCAGAGACAAGTATCTTGTGGAACGGTCGCGCACAAGTCCACGTTTACTGGTGACAGAAAAGTGCTATTAAAGACCTGAATCCGAACGGCATCTGTTCAGTCCTCAAGAAACCAGAATTAATGAGCGGAGGTTTTAAAACAATGCACACAACGCGTTTTGCACGCGTTAAAATAAAAGACACGTGGAGGATTTGATTCCATGACTTTCCTGCAAGTCGTCGAGATTTGTTTTCCTTAAACAGCCCAATATTGGGGGAGCAGGGGGGGCAGGGGGCTGGGGGGGGCAGGGGGCTGGGGGGCAGGGGCTGGGGGGGGCAGAGGGCTGGGGGGGGCAGGGGGGGCTGGGGGCTGGGGGGGCTGGGGCTGGGGGGGCTGGGGGCTGGGGGGGCAGGGGGCTGGGGGGGCTGGGGGCTGGGGGGGGCAGAGGGCTGGGGGGGGCTGGGGGCTGGGGGGGGCTGGGGGCTGGGGGGGGCAGGGGGCTGGGGGGGCTGGGGGCTGGGGGGGGCAGGGGGCTGGGGGGGCTGGGGGGGGCAGGGGGCTGGGGGGGGCTGGGGGGACTGGGGGGGCAGGGGGCTGGGGGGGCAGAGGGCTGGGGGGGCAGGGGGGGCTGGGGGCTGGGGGGGGCTGGGGGCTGGGGGGGCAGGGGGCTGGGGGGGGCTGGGGGCTGGGGGGGGCAGGGAGCTGGGGGGGGCTGGGGGCTGGGGGGGGCTGGGGGCTGGGGGGGGCTGGGGGGGCAGGGGGCAGGGGGGGCAGGGAGCTGGGGGGGGCAGGGGGCTGGGGGGGGGGGCGCTGTGGTGATGGTAATAGTGATGGTTAAGGCCCCGCACAAACAACTTCAATTATCCTTCAGCTGTTTGCAGGAAATCCGCCTCCAGAGCAGCGCCTCCACACACACACACCCCCCCAGTGTCCGGGGGTCTCACCCCAGTGTCCGGGGGTCCCCCCAGTGTCCGGGGGTCCCCCCCAGTGTCCGGGGGTCCCCCCCAGTGTCCGGGGGTCCCCCCCAGTGTCCGGGGGTCCCCCCCCCGCTGTCCGGCAGTGGCGCTGCTCTCTCTGTGTTACCTATTGGGGTTCTCGCTGCGGAAAGGATCATAACAGCGTCTCTCCCACTCACAGCGCTGCACCGAGTGCAGGAGGCGGGGGGGGGGGCGGGGAGGAGGGGCACCAGGCAATCCGCCCCGAATCGCCCCGCCCTCCCTGCCAGTCACCGAGTGCAGGAGGCGGGTGGGTGGGACCAGGCAATACGACACGCCCCGCCCTCCCTGCCAGTCACCCCACCCCTGGGCCGGTCCCTGCAAGGGCCGGTCCCTGCAAGGGCCGGTCCCTGCAAGGGCCGGTCCCTGCAAGGGCCGGTCCCTGCAAGGGCCGGTCCCTGCAAGGGCCGGTCCCTGCAAGGGCCGGTCCCTGCAAGGGCCGGTCCCTGCAAGGGCCGGTCCCTGCAAGGGCCGGTCCCTGCAAGGGCCGGTCCCTGCAAGGGCCGGTCCCTGCAAGGGCCGGTCCCTGCAAGGGCCGGTCCCTGCAAGCGGTCCCTGCGGCCGGTCCCTGCAAGGCCGGTCCCCTGCACCTCCCTGCAAGGCCGTCCCTGCAAGGGCCGGTCCCTGCAAGGGCCGGTCCCTGCAAGGGCCGGTCCCTGCAAGGGCCGGTCCCTGCAAGGGCCGGTCCCTGCAAGGGCCGGTCCCTGCAAGGGCCGGTCCCTGCAAGGGCCGGTCCCTGCAAGGGCCGGTCCCTGCAAGGGCCGGTCCCTGCAAGGGCCGGTCCCTGCAAGGGCCGGTCCCTGCAAGGGCCGGTCCCTGCAAGGGCCGGTCCCTGCAAGGGCCGGTCCCTGCAAGGGCCGGTCCCTGCAAGGGCCGGTCCCTGCAAGGGCCGGTCCCTGCAAGGGGCAGGGCCGCTGCAAGGGCCGGTCCCTGCAAGGGCCGGTCCCTGCAAGGGCCGGTCCCTGCAAGGGCCGGTCCCTGCAAGGGCCGGTCCCTGCAAGGGCCGGTCCCTGCAAGGGCCGGTCCCTGCAAGGGCCGGTCCCTGCAAGGGCCGGTCCCTGCAAGGGCCGGTCCCTGCAAGGGCCGGTCCCTGCAAGGGCCGGTCCCTGCAAGGGCCGGTCCCTGCAAGGGCCGGTCCCTGCAAGGGCCGGTCCCTGCAAGGGCCGGTCCCTGCAAGG